TGCACCTCCTTTCAGGCACTTTAATCCACTGAGTTATTTGGCCAGCCCTGGAATACAGATTTTTTTAAAGCAGTGTTTAAATTTTCTTAACAACCACATTCAATTTGTGTCACCATCACCGTTTCAGACCCTCCACCAGTAGTACTTTCTTACATTTAGTTAGTAACCCTGTCAATTATGTAAATTAAATATGTACTCTTTATCTTAGAAAATTGCAGCTCCCTGAAATATATTTTTTACTAATGAAAAAATGGATACTCGTTTCACAACTGATAGCTTCTGTCATAGTACGTTAAACTTTGACCCATTTTACTCACAAGCGTATGACCTACCACAACTATGTACTAAAGATTCATGAAGTCAGTATACTGTAGGCTTATGTGACTTGACATTTTCTCAGTGAACTGAAAACGTTATCATCATTAATTGAAAAATTTTGCCTAAGGTTATCTGCTTCAGATGCACATGGACTAAAACTAGAAAAAGATAAAAATGGTTAGCATGGGCCCAGCTCGAGGATGACAGAAAAACTCATGAAGTGATCATGTTTTTTCAACAACAAAAGAAAAGTTGGGGAGATAGGTATGCTTCTTCTGATTTAAATATTAATCTGATGTACATATACTGAAACATCACATGATATGTCCTTAATAATAATATGATAGTAAATAGCAAAATGGACTGGAGGCCTAGTTCAGAGATCCCTATGTTCAATCTTCAGTCTGGGAAGGGAGAGAAAGAGAGAGAGAGAGAGAGAGAGAGAGAGAGAGAGAGAGAGGAGATACAGTTTGAGAGAACCTTATATTTATAATAGGTCAACAATTTAGCAAGATTAATGTAACATTGTTAGAAAATGGCATAAAATTTATTTTTAAGTCTATATTCATCCAGAAAAAAAAATATTAAGGAATTTTGACTGAAGGGGAAAAAAACAAAAAGCACAATGCATAGCCTATTAGACAGAACCAATGTTCACATTTACAGAGTAAATTGTACTTTTAATCGGTTTCTGAAATATTACTCCCTTCTTCCACTGAGAACAGCATGCTTTCATTGATTCATTGAATCTAGGTATTGGCATTAGTCAATACAGCTCACAGGGCCAATTAAGATTGTTACAAGGATCTTTATGGAGAGACATTTCCCTTAGGAGATCCCAGGTAGAAAGAAATGAT